GGGGACACGGCACGAAAAACGGGCGGAGGAATCGGCCTGCTAGCGCCTCCGCCAGGAGACACCCGGCGCGCCCGCACCACCGAAAAACCTTCCTCTCCGGCGGCCGCGGCGGCGGCAATGCCCAGCGGAGGAGGACCATCGTACTCGCAGGCTCCATCGGGCATCGGAAGCAGCAGTAGCAGCAGCAGCAGCGGTTCCACCGGCGCAATCGGCAGCAGCGCCGCCACGCCCTCGGCGCCACAGCAGCTGTTCCCTGGGGTAGGAGGAGGAGGAGGTGGCGGGGGCCAGGGGGCGGGGATGATTATGCCCACCCAGCAGGCGGCAGGCGGATCGGGTTTCCAGGGCGGAGGCGGTGGCGCTGGGCTGCTGGGGATGTCGGGGGGGGGCACCACAACAACGCGAGCATCCCCCCCGTCGGCGCAACCAGATGACGACGACGACCCGTTTGGGCTGGGCCTGGGGTCGTCGGCTGCTGCGCCGGCGGTGACAGCAGCAGCAGCAGCAGCCCCGCCGAGACAGCAGGGCGCGGAGTTCTCCTCTTTCGCGTCCTCTCCCCCCCCCCCGCCCCAGCAAGGGGGCCCCGCCGCGGCAGGAGGGTGGGTGGGGGGAGGGGGGCTCTCCGATATGTCCGGGCTCGGCGCGGGTCTGCCAGGTGGTGGTGTGGGATCGCTTGCTCCGCAACAGCGGGCGGCTAGCGCGGGTTTGCCGCAAGCCGACCCGTTTTCTCAACCAGCACCCCAGGCGATGGGATATCCATCGGCATCTCCTCCTCCGCAGGGGGGGGTTGGGGGAGGAAGGGCCGCTGGCGGGGGGGCACCGGGGAATCAGACCGTGAACAACCTGCTTGATGATCTGTTCTGAAGTTGTTGCGAGAGGGAGAGGGAGAGGGAGAGGGTGGTGTAGGGCTGGCTGTATTATTCAGCAACAACAGCAGCCCTTTCAAGTCTTCGGGCTGGTTTTCCATCGACCAAGTGGAAGCCCTTTGGATTGCGGCGCTCTTCCGAACCGGATTTCATAAGTGTTTACTTAGTACAGAGGCGTTTTGCCCATCGACTGGGAGGAACCGGTAAGGGTTGGGGTCGGTGGGTGGGTAAGTAACACTAATTACCAGTTCTCTATTGATTTGTACCGTTGCTTGTGTACTGTTTCTCTAACGAACGTAGCTCTAACGAATGTAGATTCGTTGTGGTGACCATTTTTGTTTGGAACGGAGGGATACCATCTCTCGTTTTCTGGGTCCCGCGAGACGGAGCTGCTGCTGTACGTTTCCAACGCTTGACGCTGTCCCCTCTTTTTCGTTTCCT